AAACGCTTTTTAAACTGCGTGATCTACTTGAATACAGCGGCGCCCCTTACTTCTTTGCCTCGTTTGCTGTTTGGCGCTCAGCCCTGGTGTACTAACTTGTTAAATCGGGGTGCGTAGGAATGTTACTTTCGGAGAATAAATGCGGAGGGCAAGAAGGTGGACAAGACGACTGTTTTAAATTGTAACCGGTTATCCTTTCTCTGTGAGAAGATGCGCCAGCGGTTTGACACGCAGGTTTTACCGGCCGACTGAAAGGTCGGTCCAGTAAATAGTACCCCGATTATTTATATTATTACATTGCTCTTTCTACTGCCTACGGCTACTCTTTTTTTAAAAAAATAAATAAATAAGTAATCGAAACATTTCAGCCAACTTCCCTCCAACCGCTTTTATGTTTAGCTCCGCACCAGACATTTCTGTCGTCAGGATTACGATCTAATTACTCCCTGCGTCGCTAGAGGCCTGTCCTAAGACGCCTTGCATACCACTTCCACCCCCGTCCCTTTCTTGCCAGTTAACCATCAGGGAGCCCACCGGAATATAATTTGGAGTTGGGTGACCGGGAGCATCCGCATCTATCACAAATCAGAGAGCTCATACATTCCTTGAGTGCGCTCGCCCAAGATGTCTCTTGCTTCAGTTGTGTAGAGAACACACACACACACACACACACACACAGAGAGAGAGAGAGAGAGAGAGAGAGAGAGAGAGAGAGAGAGAGAGAGAGGAAAATGTGCCTAGAGGGATGCTGAGCAATCCTCCTCCCCCCTCCCCATTTGTGTGTGTTACCTATTTGTTTAGCTGATGTCGGTAGGTCTGGGTTTTTCTCAAATGTTCAGACAGTACAGGGTAAAGTAGCAAGTGCGCAACGACCGAGGGCTTGGGGTTGTTGTTTTTTTCCCCTTCTTTTTTCTTAGTCCCCTCCTTTTCCTACGAACCTGCATGAGAATTTTACTCTTGGTTTCTACCTAAAAAAAAAAAAAAATGCCCCGTTTCTACCTAAAAAAAATAAAAATGCCCCGTTTAGCCTCTGATTCTTTCCCTTACATTACTTGTAAGCTGCTCTGAGTCAAGGTATATACCGCGAGACCGGGTGGTGAATAAATTTGACAAATTTTTCATTTTCATTTTATTAAATTTATTAAATAGGAGGGGGGTATTTGACTGGCGGTTGGGTAAGGGGCCGGTTGTCTCTTCCGTTACCAGGTCCCTTGCTGCTTCGATCAGGCAGACGCAGATGTGGATGCTAACTTTAGCAATTACCGCATAATTCAGGTTAAGAAGGGCTTTCAGTAGGGACAAGTATCATTCCTCCACCCCCGCGAGACTGGCTGTTGTACAACTCCGCGCTATTGCAAAGCTCGCTCTCCGCAGGGAGAGTCCCAAAAAACAAAAAAACAAAAAAAACGTTCGCAGGCTTTGGCTGCTGGCTCTGAGGACCACCCTCCACCCCCCCCTCCCCTCCCCTCCCCCACTTTTCGAGGATCCCTGGTCGACGATTAAAGATCGGGCCCTCTCAAGAGCTCCCACCGCCTCCGGCCCCATCGCTGGCAGATTTTCCGAGCAGCTGCTTCCAGGAAGTTCCAGCAGAATCCCTCCCCCCCCCCCCCAATTCGGACTTTCACCTTTCCTCCCCTTGCACCGGGGACGGTTTTTATGGGGGGGGGGGGAGAGGCGGAGGAAGGAACTTTAGGAAAAGCAGCTGTTTAAGCAGAGGAGTGGGCGTGTCGGAGAGCGAGAGAAGAAGCGTCCCTATGCAAATGAGAGGGGCGTGGGGAGCGGAGAGCGATTCGGGCCCCGGAAGCGCCAGAAGGAAGAAAAAAAAAAAAAAAAAAAAGCCCATATAAAAAAGTACTTGGGAAACGTTTTCCGACCAGAACTAGCAAATAGCCTAGAGGCGGCCGGGCGAGCTGGAGGAGCTCTCTGGAGAAAGAGCGAAACGGGCTCGCTGGCGGACGCATCACGGGACATGGCTCCGTAAATAACTCCAAACGGGGCTGCTCCTCCGACTGCGCGTAGGTGGACGCTCGTCTCTCTTGTCTGTCGCTCCCTCTCTCTCTCTCGCCAGCCTTTTATAGTGAGGCGGCTCGGTCACGTACACATACATACATACATTCGGCAGGTGGTCGAGAGAAAGCCCGGGTGTGTATATACCGGTGGATTGGGGGGGGGGGCGCGCACAGTTAAAATATTTGTGCCCCTGGTCAAGTCCAACCTGGGGGGGGGGAATGTAGTGGCAGCGGCGGCGGCTTCGCTTCTTGTCTCAACGCAGCTGAAAACTCGAGGGAGTTCGATGAATGGGAGGGGGCGGAGAGAAGCGACTGCGACCCTCCAGGCTTGAGGATCGCAGCTGTAATTCAGTTTGCTTTTGCATTTCTTTCCCCCTCCTCCCTCACCCCCCCGCTAGGAGCGAAGGAAGAAGACGCCTTGAAAAGGAAACGGTGCCTTTGTTACATTAGTTCTGCCTGTATCGTTTAAACTCACACACACACACACACACACCATCCTATAAATTAAGCTGGACCATGGCAGACGACGAAAACGGCCTTAGCGGCGGCTCCAACGAGGTCCCCCCGGAGCCCTGCGCGGGCAGTTGCGAGAACAGCCGCTGCGACGTGCTGACCTGGGAGCAAGTGCAACGCCTGGATCGTATCCTGAGCGAAACCATCCCGATTCACGGCCGGGGCAACTTCCCCACGCTGGAAATGCAACCGCGACAGATCGTGAAGGTGGTGAGGAGCCGCCTGGAGGAGCAAGGCATCGGCGTGCGCGACGTGCGGCTCAACGGCTCGGCGGCCAGCCACGTCTTGCACCAGGACAGCGGCCTGGGCTACAAGGACTTGGACCTCATCTTCTGCGCCGATTTGAAAGGCGAGGCGGAGTTCCAGAGAGTCAAAGACGTCGTCCTGGACTGCCTCTTGGATTTCTTGCCGGACGGGGTCAACAAGGAGAAGATCACGCCGCTCACCCTGAAGGTAAATGAAAGGGAGCGCGCTCTGGGTCCCGGCAGGTGGGCTGCTTTAAAGGGACGAGGGCGAGCCTAGGGTCGCCAGGTGTCCACTATTTGAGTGGACAGTCCACTTTTTTTCCACATTATGTTCACTATTTTTTTTTTTCACAAAATAGTGGACATTTTTTTTTTATTCAAAAAAGCTTTATGATGAAATGGTACGTCATCTAAAGCTGTACAGTCTCCTTTTTTTTACTACTTAACCCCCCCGCCCCCCCGCTTGTCCGCTATTTTTTTTTTTTTGGAAGCAGACCTGGCAACCCTAAAATAAAAGAGACGCCTCAGTTTGCATTGGAAAACGCCAAGGACGGCTCCGTGAGGATTCGACCCGTCCGTTCGCTCTGCTCTCTCCCTTATGCTTATTGCCAGCGCCGTCTCTTCATTGGCTTCCTCCCAACTAGCAATTCTCCTTTGCTTAGGAAGAGCAGGGCGATCCATACGCGTGAATTATAAGCCCCGCTCTGTAGCTGAATTAAACCGAAGAAATTGGGCTTGTTTAGAGCCCCTGGTTTTTCGGTGAGCTTAAGTTGCGTTCGTTAGTTATTTCTTTTCTTCCTTGAGTTGTGGATGGGCCCGCTAGAGGGACACAGTGCTCCTCCGTTTCCCTCCCCTTCGGACGGAATAGAGAAGCCGAGACCCATTCCCGCCCCAGGGCTGCAGAAACACACCGTGCTGGGATTTAGTTAAGGATTTTGAGAGCCAAGGTTGCCTACCCCTGGCCTAGCCTCTTATGATCCGTGATTTAGCAGAGAGGTTCACTGAAGCCAAGCGGCCTTTTTAACAGAAGTTGGGAATCGTCCAAAATCTTTTTAAGTTGTTATTCTGCAGGAATTATCCTAAGCTTAAATTTTATTTAGAAATTTTCCAGTTTCTCCAAAAGCTAAAACAGTTTTTGATTTTAAAGATATAAAAAAACGAGAACTAGCGTGTGTTTCTCCACCTTATTTTTTGCCGTAATTCAATTACAATTTTCCAAGATAATTCTACTGTTCTTTGTATGCATTTTTATTACACCTTTGGAGGAAACTACTAAATAGCACCCTTGCACAGAACATCCCTTTCGTGCATTTATCATGGCATGAGTCCCCCCCCCCAATACCTCTCTCTGATCTTTCACCACTGCCTGTCTGCAGAGCACGTACTAAATCTGTCCACATTGTCTGTTTCTTATGCCTGAGCTCTGGGGAGGACAGGGTAAAGTTGGGATCAAATGCAAATGAAAGTTCTAAAGAGGAAGTGCTGCTACTGGTTTCCTGACCTTTTCTTTTCTCTCTCTCACTCTCTCTCTCACTCTCTCTCTCTCTCTCTCTTTCTCTTTTGGTGGGGGGGTATTTGTTTCAAATTGCAGGAAGCCTACGTACAGAAAATGGTGAAAGTCTGCAACGATTCAGACCGATGGAGCCTCATCTCATTATCCAACAACCGTGGCAAAAATGTGGAGCTGAAATTTGTGGACTCTCTGAGGAGGCAGTTTGAGTTCAGTGTAGATTCTTTTCAGATCAAGCTGGACTCTCTCCTCCTTTTTTACGAATGTTCTGAAAACCCAATGGCTGAAACGTTTCACCCGACTATAATTGGGGAGAGCGTCTATGGGGATTTCCAAGAAGCCTTTGACCACCTTTGTCACAAGACCATTGCAACTAGAAATCCAGAAGAGATCAGGGGAGGTGGTCTCCTTAAATACTGCAACCTCCTAGTGAGAGGCTTCAGGGCTGCCTCCGAATCTGAGATTAAGTCCCTCCAGAGATATATGTGCTCGAGGTTTTTTATTGATTTCTCAGACATTGGAGAACAGCAGCGCAAGCTGGAGTCTTACTTGCAGAACCACTTTGTGGGACTCGAGGACCGCAAGTATGACTATCTCATGACCCTTCATGGGGTGGTGAATGAGAGCACAGTGTGCCTGATGGGACATGAGAGGCGACAGACTTTAAACCTGATCACCATGCTGGCCATCCGGGTGCTGGCTGAGCAAAATATCATCCCCAACGTGGCCAACGTCACTTGCTACTACCAGCCAGCCCCTTATGTAGCGGATGCTAACTTTAGCAATTACTATATTGCTCAGGTTCAGCCCATGTTCCCCTGTCATCAGCACACTTATTCTACTTGGTTGCCCTGCAACTAAGCAGTTTTAACAAGACTTGGGGAACACGTCTTTTTCCAGCAAGCAAATAAAGGCGGAGGGTGGTTCTCCTCTTTTAAAAGTGGGATGTTTTTAGTGCAACGTGGTTTGCTCTTAATTTTTTTATTTTATTTTTTATTTTTGCTGGAGGAAAGTTCTTCTGGTTCTTCTCTCTAGTATTAACTGAGCATGACTTAGAAAAGAACCAAAAGCTATTGGATTCCACCCTAGAGTATGCAACCTGTCTTGAAGAGCAACTAGATCGCCTTGAAATAAACCTAGGGGAAATGGTTGATGACAATATGGGGTTGGCAGTGCTTTGCTCCCATAGCTATGGCAGAGAGAGAGAAAAAAAATCTTGAAATCAAAAAGGAATCTTAAGAAGAAGAAGCAAAAAAAAAAACAAACCCTAAATACGCTTTCAGGAATTAAAAGTTAGATGCAGAAATATACAGTTATGTTGGAATAAGGTGTATTTTGGAATTCTCTCTTTGGAGCATGCATTATGCTGCCCAGTGAGGGTCGCCACAGAATGTATAGCTTGCTTGAATAGAATGCTTTAAGAGAAATCGCTTGCTCAAAAAAAAGAAAAAGAAAAGGAGAGATGGAGGCTGAAAGAAGGGTGGGGGTGGGAAGGATTATGGCAAATTTCATTATTTCCAGCTGTGTGCATGCTTCACATTTTTTAAAAAAAATGTGGAAAGCAAGAAAACCAGCTGTAGCAAGCTTCATATGCTTTAGGACCAAAGATAAATTCTAGTAAAGACGGGATATGGTAGATTATGAAATATAAATATATATATTTGTATACACAAATTTTAAACAGAAGTGCCTGATTCCTTCAGAGAATTTGAAGTGAGAAAAATATAGTTTTGTGATTTAATCTTGCATTTTGTTTTTTTTATCAGGGACACAAGAAACTTAAAAAAAAAATAAGCTTGTGAATAAATGGTGGAGGATATTCCTATTTGTTTTCCTTGCAAATACCTATATAAAGGTTATATTGTTGGTGTTCTGCAATCTTTGGTACACAATGTGTATGTTTATTGTTCTGTGTGTGTGTGCGTGTGTATAACATGTTATATGTATATATTCACATGTTTTAAACATGGTAGGGAAATGTAGCAATGTTAAGGAATGTTTTAAATGAGCTATAGTGTGTATGTGTTCCGGCCTGCAACAGGATATAATGATTGTGAGACACTTTGCAGAGATTCCCATATCAGAAAAATCTTGATAAAACAAAACAGGAATCGGATGATAAAAGTAATTAATTGGCCTGTTTGTGAGCCATAGGGTTTCGTAATTGGACAAAACTTCTTAACTCTTAAATTATTGTACCTTAATATAATGTGGTTTGAATGTTCAGCTTAGAAATTTCTTGACTACGTATCTCTGTGATGGAGTAAGACACCAACTGGAATGTGGCTCAAACAGATGGCTCCCCTCATTCCCAAATATTGTTTTACTTGGTGATTTAAATACTTAATGATTAATATTTCTTTTGAAAAGCAAGCAGAATGCACTGTGCATCCCACGACCACTATAACTTTGTAAATGTGAAATTGAACCATTCGTGTTGCACGTTTGTGTGTGTGTGTATGTGCCTACAAACGCATACATACACTATCAAACATCTTTGATTTGACTGCCACCCTCTATTTTGCAGTTTAATATTGTGACTTATTTAAAAGGAATCGTTTTTACTTTCTCAAAGAATCAATCTGCTGCATGTTCTTCCACCCCCTTTGTGTTGATTACTATATAGAAGAGTCCCCTGACTTTGTTTTCTTTTTCTGCCAGCAAACTGGTTTTTAAAAGGAAATGAAATCTAACTTTAATGTTCAAATACAGAGTTAAGAGATCTTTAAGATAATTAATTAAGGAACCTATGTGTGAATTTAAGGCTCTGATGCTTTACGAATTGTGTTGGAGCCTGGCCTGTCTGCTTTCCCCCCATTTTTAATGGTGTGACATTTCCAGTACTGATGGAGGAAGGCCACCAACACTTATAGAATCCAATGTTATTTAGATGCATCCTTATCAATGATAAAACAGGGTGACATATTTATAATGGAAGGATTAGTAAGTTGCTAATCAGACAATCTATCCTTGCCCCCCCCCCCCCGTAAAGCTACTGGCAATCTATTTTCTCTACTAGTTTTTAAATTGTGAAAGATTTCCCCATATCTACAATAATTTTGTGCTAGTTGAATAGGATCCCCCCCCCATGTGTTTACAGTTCTCAGAAACCATCTTTTGTTCTGTCTTTGAAAGCACTTTCTGCTTGCCTTGGCTTCTTCTGATGCCTGATAGGTATGAGTTTTTTTTTTAAGCTTATTTTGATTAGTGCTTAGTTATAAAACAGTGCTCGTATTTGTTAATCCACTCTCATCTGTGGCGAATGAAAAGAGAGGTCAACATTTGCATTTGATAAAAAAAAAATCAGACTTATCGTCTGTCTTTAATTCCTATGACCATCCAGAACAGCATAATGAATGATTCCAGTCCAACTTATGTGGAGTGGAGGGTAGGGGGTGGGGGGGTGGGACAGACCAGGGAGCCTTCTGCAACAGTGCAAGCTCTTCCTGGTGGAAACTGAGCTGAAGGCTGGGGAAATGGGATCAGCTGGTAATGTGGTTTTATCTTTTCCTTACCGCAGTGACTTTGCTGCAAAAAAAATGAGTCATATCCACTCTTTTAAGGGGTTGGGGATCATTGGCAGGACCTCGGCCATAAAAAGCTGATAATATATTGCATATTTTTCCTTTGGAGTAGTTTTTCCATTTTTAAGAAATCATTATTAGTTCAGGCATTATAGGTCTCCCGGCCAACACTCTGTACCATATTCCACAGTTCAGATTTTAGTTGCTGTTTACAGCAAATGGATGTGGTAAAATCCTGGCAATTGTTTTTCCCCCCCCTCAACTTCAAGTGTTCAGTAATTTTCATTAGCCTACAGGCATGTCCACACATTTATATTGGGATGGGGGGGGGGTTGTAATTGGTGGTTATAATTAATAGAAAGTGTCTGATGCTACTGACTGCTGGCCAAACAACTTAAAACCTGTATTTCCCAAATCATTAAATTTTTTGTGGACACATACTTAGCTCTTTCTAGGGTATGGCAATATCTATCTTCCTTTTTCAATTTTGATGGACTAATAGCTTGAGGAGAAAATGCTTAATACTGCTTAAGATCCTGTACTATTTCTTCAGTAGGTTTTAAAAGTTGTTGCAGTGCTTAATTTAAGACATCTCATTTATAGCTAAATTGATTGGGGTTCCAGTGAATTATCTCTGAATCATGGAAGATCTAAATTTGTTCTACTTCAACAGTGGCTGGAAAGAGAAAGGGAGAATGTAAGGTTTTGTATTCTGTTGAATTTTAAAAGAATAATTTTAATAGTGAATATTTTGAAAATCTCATTTGCCCATATGTGTTATGTGGATCTCAAATGATTGGAAGTGTTACTTTCAGTCCCAAGTTGTTCAGTGAAATTGTACTGTATATAATCTGCGATATGCACACATGAAACAAATTCTTTGAAAGGAAACAAGCAAAAATTAAGTGACAATAAAAAATGCCAGCAGGATTATTGTTTTCATAACTCATTTTATTCAAAGGCTTTAGAACTTACTTGCTGCTAGGTATTGCACAAAGTTTCATGCACACCTTATAAATGCCTATTGTAAAATGCTTTATATGCAAGTTATATTATTGAAGGCTCTTATTCATTCAGAGAAAGCTTTAAAACAGTTTGTGGAGTTTAAAATTGTGTAAAGGAAAAGAGACAGAGAAGGAAATATATCTAATGACATATTCAGCACTTTTTCTTTTTTTTTCTTTTCTTTTTTGTTTAATTTGTTTTCGGATGTCTTTCCAGTTTCCATTGCAATGGACAAAAATCAAATGTCAATATATAAGTTTTGCTGTTTGCTATGATTACAACTACTTAAACTTTGAAAAGCCTACACATTCTACAATGGGCTGTACATGGCACTGAAAGCCCTTGAAGTCAATTCCATTCTCCCAAATTCTACAGAATTCTGAACTTGTAGACTTCAGCAACGCATCCTGTTACATCCAACTATTCCTCCTGCTATGGGAATTTGTTGACTCTGGGTTTGGTTGGAGGTTGAACCAAGTAAAGGCTGGAAAACAGACCCTTTTAAGTAACAAGCATTTGCTTCTGGGCTAGAGGAAACAGATTGTGAATTTTGTTTACAGCATCCAATATTTGGAATATTTGTAAATAAAAATGTTATTTTTTCTATTTATCTGCGTCTGATCTTTCCAGTGTCAAAAACTATTTTGAAATCCATTGTCTGTTGACTTCTGCCATTGAATTGTCAAAAAAGGGGTTTTACTTTATGGCATGGCCTTAAAGAGTATTTCGGCTTACTGGAAAATGCCATTAAAGATGCTATGCAGCATGGGAAAAAGTCTTGGCTTTCTTCCAGCATGATTTTTGCAAGCACTTTTTGAACTGAATTCTTCATGGAAATGCCTATGCCAGCCTTCTCCAATCTAGTGGCCAGGTGTGTTGGACTTGCAATATCCATACTAGTTGGGAATTAGCGTTGTGGTATCAACCCATCCTGAGGGCACCAAGGTGGAGAACTGGATTAGTCATGAAAACATGCCTTTTCATTCAACTTCCAATCTCAAATCAGGATGAGAGCAAAACCTAGCCATTTGCCTGTCATTTGATACTGGGATAAAAGGGATTATCTAAATCAAGGTATGCCTTCTTAGCCAAATGCCTCTTCCACGAAAAAACTGTAAACCAGAGATGCACATTTACAGAGAATAAAATATTTCAGTGAGAAGCATCTTGACATGTAAGCTTCATGGGAACAGTTGCATAGCAAATAGCCTCTTCAATGTAAGTCTAATTTTAAAAATACCATAAAGGAAAATAAGTTTATACAATTTTCTTTTCCCAAAACTACAGAGATTGGAACACATTCATGTACTGACACCTGCAGTGATTTTAAACTTTGTACTTTTAAGTTTCCAACAAAGCAAATAAAAATGCATAAAAGTCTGAATTTCGAGAACATAAATATTAAAGTGAAAATTAATTGTATTAGGGAAAATTGTGGAAAAGTTGTATGATTTTTATAAGCGTGTTAGGTACCAAATAAACTCTGTCATAAATAAAAGCACTAATTATTCTCCCGGCTGCAACGCCTCTATGTGATGAAAGCACAATGACTGAATTTATTTCTAAATTAATAGATTGTAAAAAAGAATAAGACAATGGCTGAGAAACATGGAAGTGTGATGCCTCCTTTATGAAGCAGAAATAGGATATAAGTTTTCAGGGAAAGAAAGGGGGAGATCTTAGCATTTGAGAGCACCCAGATAAATACTTAAAACTTCAGACAGTTTTCTAGTATACAAAGCATTTGTTCTGTTCACATACAGTAGCCAGCATAATAAGAGTATTTTTTGTTTATGCACTGAAAATCCAACAAGGCCCACTGCCATCACAAAGTGCATCAGATTTATGACATGCCAGTGCCCAGAGAATCCTGGGAACTGTAGTCAGGCTGCTGAGAGCCTCCTCCCA